TTATTGTTCACTACTCGCTACGGTTCCCTTTGTCCACACACGGACAATAGCTCCCTTTGTTCCCATGTCCGCTATTGTCCTACACCCCTTGTACTCCGTACCCATGGCGACGCTATTGTTCTCTAGCGCCCATTGTTCGTTCCCTGTATATAGCTGGATCCCTTGCTACCTGGAGACTCTAGTTTCGACCTCTTGTCTCCAGGTAAGCCATCGTGTATTTCGCTCTGTAGATACTTCGCTCAATACACAACTTGTCTCCAGTCCTGCCTGTTGAGCTCCGCTCCAGTCTCACTGTGATCAGAGCTCGTCGGCGCTCCTGCCTGCCTCGCTCGTCTCCACTTACTCGCTCGACAGTCAGTTGTAACACGTTCAGCATTGTTCATGAACTCCGAATGGTATGCAATTGGGTGAAACTTTCCATTGTCACCTTCCTGAGACAGTACCGCACCAGTGGCGTATCCAGAGGCGTCGACCTCGACTCGTGTTCTCCATTCCGGATTGTAGATGCAGAGGACTGGGCTTTCGCAGAACCGTCGTTTGATCTTGTCGAATGCGTGTTGCTCCTCCTCGCCCCACTGCCAGGGGTTATTGCCCGTAAGCCGGTCCAATGGTTCGCAGATTGCGCTGAAGTCGTGAATGAATCACTGGTAGAAATTTGCAAAACCACGGAACTTCTGTACGTCTGAGGCATGCTGAGGAGTCGGCCAGTCTGCAATTTCTTTGACCTTGACAGGGTCCATGCCTACGTGTCCTTCGGAGAAGATCATGCCCAGATACTCAATCTGCGACTGCTCGAACTTGCACTTCTCGGGCTTCTGGAACAGGTCGTTCACTTCCAAACGTTGGAGGACTTCGTGCACAACCTTGCGGTGTTTGGTCAGGTCGCTGGTGAAGATGAGGATATTGTCTAGGTACACCGTGATCTTTCCTTCGACAATGAGGTCCTTGAAGATGTCATTCATAAACACGGAGAATGTGCTCGGAGAGCCGGTGAGTCCGAAGAACATGACTGCAGGCTCAAACAACCCTCGGTTGGTCGTGAATGCGGCTTTCCATTTGTCGCCGGTCTTAATCCGGATGTTGTTGTAGCCCCAGCGGACATCGAGCGCCGTGTAGACCTTGGCATTCTTGAGTCGGTCCATGAGTTCTGCAATGAGTGGGAGTGGGTACCGATTCTTCACTATGATGGCATTTAGTTGTCGGTAGTCTTGGACCAGTCGTAGACTGCCATCTTTCTTCTTGACGAAGAAGAAGGGTGAGGACACCGGGGACTTCGACTCACGAATGTAACCTTTGGCCACGTTCTTCTGCAGGAACTTGTCGAGCTCGACCTGTTCACTGGACGACAATGGGTAGAGTTGCGAGTGGAAGGTTTGTGCGCCGGGTACCAGTTCAATTGCGTGGTCGTAGGGGCGGTGTTCCGGAAGTTGATCCGCCACCTCCTTAGAGAACACGTGCATGTGCTCTCGGTACTTCGGTGGGACCATCTTGTCGACAGTTTGAACTTCCCGTTTGGTGTACTCTTGTTTGGCGAGCTTCCGCGAGTAGGTGTGACTGGCCGATACAAAGAGTTGGGGCGCACCGCAAAGCGTTCAGCCCTTGTGCCAAGCGTCGATGAGAGACTGTTCCGTACCATCCCAATCTTCTTCAGCTGAAGGTAGGAGAGGCTTGTCTTCGGCCTCATTGACCATGACCGTACCACAAATTCGCCCTACCATTTGAGCTTTTCTTGCCTGTGGAGACCACTGTAGGCTGTACCCCCGTATCACGCGCTTCAGTCTCCACTGGTTTGGATCCCTATGGGTCGCTGGGCAGGTGTTGGGGCATTGCGACAGGCGCAGTGAACCACCTTCCCAATCGATTTCTGGGTTGTGTTTGTGCAGCTAGTCCAGCCCGATGATCACGTCCTCCTCTCCGATGTCTGTAATGACGAATGTGATCTCTTCCTCATGGTCGCTGATCCTCATGGTAAGAACGGCCACCTCAGTGATGGTGCCGTCTCGGTTCTCCAATCTGTCAATGTTGTACAGAGGAATAGGCTTCGCCAGCTTCCTCGTTGTGATCTGGTTCCGTACCACAAATCATCTGTGGAAAAACTTCGTAGTGGCGCCAGAATCGACCATGGCCACCAACTCCTTGCTTCGCTGCTTGCCGCTCAGTCGTATAGGGATGTGGAAGTGTTGACCTGCATGGTCGACTTCATAGATTCAAGAGGATCCCAGTACAGCATAGCGACTATTGGTACATGAGCCCGCAGGCGCAGCGTCCAGTGTGGCTCGGATCAAAAACCCTCCTTCTCCTTGGCGAGGCTGACGGCGGCAATGTGATCGCTGAGCTCCTTGAGCTGTGAACGGAGAGCCACCAGCTCATCTGAGGCCGAGGGGTTCGAGGACGGGGTTGTCACAGCCAAAGAGCTGTGCCACTAGAATAAACAAGGGCAAAGCTTACTGATGCAGAGGTTGATGCTGAGAAGCGAAGCAACCAGAGGTGACACAGCAAGAGATGTGAAGAGATGTATTCCCTAGACTAGAAGGGGCAGTGAGGGAGGTAGGGCTGCTAGCTACCTACAGAGGAGATGGGGAATCGATGAGAAGATCAAGTCTGAGGTTCCCTGCCTCAGACCCCCTACTATTTATACTAATACAATGGTGCACAGACCAGGTACCTATTGACCATCGTTTGGTCAGAGTTCTCTGCCTTATGTCCTACCCTCTGACCTGCCTCATGGTGACCTTACGACTAATACCTGAATCGTGCCGAGTCCGGAACCCTTCCAATGAGTAAGCGCTCCTGCTGTCACATCAGTCACCAGCCAGTGAGTGATGGTGGGCGCTCCCAGCCCTCTCAAGGTCTGGGGTTCGAATCCGGCTGCTCCGGTTCTCAATACGAGTTGTCCACGGTTGAGGTGTGCGTCTGCCTTGGTGCACATGACCCCCAGGTTGTTGACTGCAGTGGGCCTCAGAGGGGTCACAATGGCCTAAGTCGAGCTCTGTAAGTCTTTATTATTGCAAGGAAACTGTGCTACACACCTAAGTCGAGCTCTGTAAGTCTTAAGGACCACAGAGTCGACTCAGGCGCAGATGACGGCGCACAGAGCGCGTGGGAACTAGCTAACACGACCATACACTAAATGGCGCTGGAATGGCGCCAAACGGACCAGAAGTGCGTAAGGTAGACACTATTCTAGAGTGCAGTCAGATCTACAGAAATGGAGACTACTAGTGAAAGAAATGCGATATCTCTATGTGAACGAGAGTTGTGACTACACGAAAATTACCGTAGATAGCGGACAGCGCGAACTATGTACAGCGCGATGCGGGACTTGGTGCGATTAAAATCGACGGCGCTACAGCGCCGACTCCAACACAGGTCACATGGCACGAGAAAACTGTGACAGGGGTGGGGTTGGGCGGAGTGGCAGTGGACGCGGCTGCTTGCTGTCCTCGCGGGGCTTCTTGCAGTTCCGCTGGATGTGGCCCTTCTTGCCACAGTTGAAGCAGGACCGTTCCTCAGGTCCACGTTGGTCCGCTGCCACTCATTCGCTGTTACGGCGACTAGGCGCGTAGACTCGGGTCGACGTTCGGCGACGACCTCGTAGGCGAGCAGCAAGGAGCTGAAAGGGAAAAGAGAGAGAAGGAGAGGGATAAACACAACAAGAAACTCGACGGGGCAGAGCAGAGGCCGGCACGATGGCACAAGACCTACGAAGCTAGTCTTCACGCAGATAGCGACAGACTAGTCCCAATGACCAAGTTATACATTAGCACTCAAAGGGAAATACAACACTATGGCCACTCACCTAGTCCCAATGACCAAGAGGTCGAGATGGGGACTAGGGAGCGTTTAAGGGGGTCCTTATATACTAGAGGGGCTGCTTTGTTGGAGTCGGTGCTGTAGCGCCGTCGATTTTAATCGCACCAAGTCCCGCATCGCGCTGTACATAGTTCGCGCTGTCCGCTATCTACGGTAATTTTCGTGTAGTCACAACTCTCGTTCACATAGAGATATCGCATTTCTTTCACTAGTAGTCTCCATTTCTGTAGATCTGACTGCGCTCTAGAATAGTGTCTACCTTACGCACTTCTGGTCCGTTTGGCGCCATTCCAGCGCCATTTAGTGTATGGTCGTGTTAGCTAGTTCCCACGCGCTCTGTGCGCCGTCATCTGCGCCTGAGTCGACTCTGTGGTCCTTAAGACTTACAGAGCTCGACTTAGGTGTGTAGCACAGTTTCCTTGCAATAATAAAGACTTACAGAGCTCGACTTAGGCCATTGTGACCCCTCTGAGGCCCACTGCGGCTAACAGGTTATGAGCCCTGCGCTCTAGCTGCCTCAGACATCCATCCCTGCCTGTCCAAATCGCTCCCTGGTCCCCAGCTCGCTTTCCTAGCCCCTGCTGGTCGCATTTTCGCTCTGGGACTCTGCCTCCATCCTTCTGTCCTGCTGGACGCAGTTTTTGTCCCCTCGCTTCGTTGTCTCGCCCGTCGGACCCCTGCCACGTCACCGCTCGCCCACCATGGTTTCGCGCACCCCTGCTGCGTCGTTTTCCCTCCCCAAGGTTCCCTCCAGCAACCCTTCCCTCCCCAAGGCTGGCCCCTCCACCTCCTGCCGATTCTGCGGTCGACTAGGCCATCCTGAGGACCAGTGCAGGGCTAAACGCTATGCCAGCGTCAGGGCGACTCAATGTGCTGCTCAACGCTCGCATTGTTGCCCAAACAAGACCAGGACCCAGCAAGCGGCCTCCCAGTCCTCCCAGTGCGACCAGGACCCACCCCAGGAGTTCGCTGTCAGTGCTGGCTGCGCTGCTGCACTCCTATCGTCCTCAGAGCGCGATTCCTGGCTCTCTACCCCTGCTGCGACGTCCTGGAACACCGACACAGGTGCCTCTGCCCATATGACACTGTTGGAGTTTGCCGTCCGGCCATCGCCGAGTGACCAAATACATACAAATAGCACATCGGTACTGCCAGCTCATCATGTACCTACCTGTGTTAGAGTGAGAGAAATCAAGCATAGACGAGGGCCCAGCGGCACCTCAGAACTCGGACACAGACAGGGGATTTGGGCTCAAACCGAAGGCTTCGTAGCGACGGACTAGGGATTGTACAGTGACGTGGCTACGGCGTCGTGCTGCTAATGTTTGTCCGTGTTTGTCCGTCCGACGCAATTAGGCGCCGACGCCAACAACCTGCTCTTGAGTCCGTATGGCGACGAGCCTCTTCGGTTTGTGTTTGAGGCCTGGGTGGGGCTTTGTTCTGTCTGGGCCTGGAGAGCCCTGAGTGCCAGTTTGGTGCCCTAAACCTCTTGTCTATGCGTCTATGCCTCTCTCTCTCTCGCTCTTCCTTAACTCTATCATTCGCTCTCTGCACTCGCTATCTGCGCCCAATTCGCCATTATCGACCAGATCACACCACTGCTGCCAACAGACACCTCACCGCCACTGGTTTCGCTCTTACTCACCCCACAACGTCCCCATTCGCCTTGCCAACTCGCACATTGTCTACTCAGCTGGTCTGGGGTCTGTAGTGTTCCAACCTGCGTCTCGAGGCGGTGTTTTACCCCCTGCTGTCGTCCTGCATGACGTCCTGCATGTCCCTGCCCTTGCCAGCAACCTGCTCTCTGTTTTCCACCTCACCCGCCAGAAGGGCTACACTGTCGAGTTACAGGCCGCCTCTGTGCTGTTCTATCACCAGGGCGAGCTGCGCTTCGAGGCCAAGGTCGACAAGCACAACACAGGCTACCTCCTAGGCCATACCATCGCTCAGCCGAAGAATGCGCTCTCTGCCTCCACTGCTTGTCAGGAGGACCTCGATCTTTGGCACAGACGTTGCTCGCACGTCAATCTAGATGATCTCCGCTCGATAATTCGAAAGGACCTCGTTCAGGGCCTCACCATCCGATCCAAGCGTCAGCCCAGCCCTATCTGCGAGCCATGCCTTGCTGGCAAGCTAAATCGCCATCCCATCCCTCGTTTCGCGTCCCGGAGGTTCGTTCGCGTCG